CGGCCGCCCGAGCCGCCGTGCCCCCGCGGCCTCCGGCTGGGTGTGGCCCTCCCGGTACGACCTTGGGGTCGGGAGACCCGGAAAGCCGCGCTTGGAGGCCACGTCCGGGGTGGGTCGCTTCCCAACCTCCCGGAAACTGTGGACTCCTCCGCGGTCCGTCCGCTCGCCCCGTGCGCCGCCAGCTTGAGTTTGGAGCGGGGAGCCTTCTCGCCGTCCCCCCCGGCTCTCCCCTCCCCCGAGGCCTGCGGGGCCGTGCAGGTTGCCCCGCAGAGGGTTTCCAGACCCGCGGGCGTCTTGCAGCGCGGACCCCACTGCCGCCCGCCCTCCGGAGGGCTGCGAGTTAGCAGAGGTGGGTGGGGCGGTAGCCGTTGGGTGAAGTTCATTCGAACAAAAACATCCTTTCTGCTCGTTCTTTTGAACTTTGGTCTTACCCTTTCCCCCTTCTCTTTAGCTAGGATTCATTCCCAAATAAGGACTGCAAGGGTCGCTGTGATCTTAGACGCCACTTAGAGCGAAAAGGGGGAACTGGCTCTGGAGTCACAGAACAATCGCGTGTTTACACGTATAGTAAGTGTGCTTCGTAACGTCCCCTCCCCCCGTCGTGCTTTAAATGGTGCGGTTTAGGGGATCAGGAAATTCTGTTCACCCACGAACCAAAAACAGTTTCCGCAGATCCTTCCGGTCAGCTCATCCTCATTGAAAGCCATCCGTGGGTCACAGGCTCTCACACCTTGGCCTTGCTGTGATGATTTGATTTACACTGATTTGTTTGCATGGATCTTGACTGAAAAGTTGTTGGAAGTTTCATTGCTGGTATGGTGAGGAGGCTTCAGCAGAGGTTTCATTAGGAGAGGAAGAGAAAAGTTAGAAAAGCGAAAAATTTCACCCACTGTGGCTAAACTTTCTTAACGTGGTCTTCCTCAGTCCTCAGAGCTACTCCGTAAGGCGGGTCAGACTATTTAATGCCAGCTTCACACTCAGCAGCAGCGGGGCGTTCTGCTCCCTGAATGTTGTCATGTACCCGTCTGGATTCTCTGCTTGGTCAGCTCAGCCATGGGAAGGAAAATGACCCGAGATGACCGGGAAGAAAAGAGTTGGCTTGAGTCTCCCCCAGGTATCCTTTGCCAGAAAAAAGAGACTTGCAAGCTTGTGTGACTCCCACCTCGAGCTTGCAAATAATACATTACCCTAAGTGACTCAGCCCCAGTCGGCAGGCCTCAGAGTCAGGGCCCATTTTCAAGGTCCTGCAGCTCCAAGGGCCTCTTCACAGCCACATGGCCACTGAGTAACAGGAAGCCAGGATTCTCCCTGTTCCGTCCAGGCTAAGCTGACCCCTGTGCCATGCACACAACCGGATACCAGAAATAGACAATTTACTTACTTTAGGAAAGATTTTTCTTATTTAGTTTTCATTATTCAAATATCATCTTTCATTGACAGTCCTCCAATTTAAGAGTGATGTGTAGATTAAAGAATTAAGAAAACTTGTTTTATTGTAGAAAGGGGGAAATAATCTCAACATAGAACAAATTATTTTAAAGTTTCTGAATACTTGGAGGAAAAATATTTTAAAAGACCGACTCACAGTGGTGACCACACCATAAAAACAGTTTTTTCATAGTGTAGTTTTCTTTTTTTTAAGCCAAGAGTATCACTTTGTTGCCCTTGGTAAAGTACCTTGGCATCACAGCTCACAGCAACCTCAAACTCTTGGGCTCCAGCAATCCTCTTGCCTCAGCCTCTCAATTAGCGGGGACTAAAGGCACCCTCTAGAACACCTGACTAGTTTTTCCATTTTTAGTAGAGAGTGAGTCTTGCTCTTGGTCAGGCTGGTCTACCTCAGCTTCCTAGAGTATTAGGATTACAGGCATGAGCCACTGTGCTGGCCCATAGTATTATTTTTGCGGTCTAAAGGACTGAATTAGTTTTTATATCTGTCGGCCCCATCAGAATCCATCATAATAAAAAAGAATGATTGAATGAAGTAAAGCACTGCATTTGAGCAACAAAAAGCAAAAACAATAAGTAAAGGAGAAAGAATTACCCTTTTGGTTTCTAAAAGCAGCATAGCAATCATATTTCTATGTTTTTCTGTTACAATTTTTTGTTTATAGACGAGGTTTCCCTATGTTATTCAGGCTGGTGTTTAACTTCCTGAGGTCAAGAAATCCTCCCTCTTAGCCGGATGCTATGGTGGGCACCTGTAAGTCCCAGCTACTTGGGAGGCTGAGGCAAGAGAATTGCTTGAGCCCAAGTTTTGAGGTTGCTGTGAGCTGTGATGCCACAGCACTCTACTGAGTGGGATGTAGTGAGACTCTATCTCAAAAAGAAATTCTCCCTCAGCCTACCAAGTAGCTGGAATTATAAGTGTGTACCACTGTGCCCAGCCTCTGATAGCATTTTTTAAAAATATATTAAGAATTGGGCTGCACCTGTGGCTCAGTGAGTAGGTCGCTGGCTCCATATACACAGGGTAGCAGGTTCAAACCCGGCCCTAGCCAAACTGCAACAAAAAATAGCTGGGCTCTGTGGCAGGCACCTATAGTCCCAGCTACTTTGGAGGCTGAGGCAAGAGAATCCCCTAAGCCCAAGAGCAGAAGGTTGCTATAAGCTCTGATGCCACTGCACTCTACCAAGGGCGACAAAGTAAGACTCTGTCTCTGAAGAAAAAAAATAAATAAATAAAATATATATGTGTGTGTGTGTGTGTGTGTATATGTAGAGAGAGAGAGAGAGAGAGAGAAAGAATTTAAAATTTGGCCAGTGTTGGGTGGCACCTGTGGCTCAGTGGGTAGGGCGCCGGCCCCATATACCAAGGATGGCAGGTTCAAACCCAGCCCCAGCCAGCTAAAATAGCAATGACAACTACAACAACAACAAAAAAAGCCAGGCATTGTGGCAGGCACCTGTAGTTCCAGCTACTCAGGAGACTAAGGCAAGAGAATTGCTTAAGCCCAAGAATTGGAGGTTCCTGTGAGCTGTGACTCCATGGCACTCTACTGAGGGTGACAAAATGAGACTCTGTCTCAAAAAAATAAAATAAAGTTTGGCTAGTGAAAATAGTATTTGTAAGAATTCAAAATGTCACATTAAGCAACTTGTCATTTTTAACATTTAAAATTCAGGGAAGGGGTAGAATAAATAAAATATATACAATCAATTCAGTGTTGAAAGAACTGATTGTCAAACACAAAATTGAATTTACACAAACAGACTGTCACCATAAATAGTCCCATAAGACAAGATCTCAGTGATTTAGGTTTATAGCCTAGTAAACTTTTACTTCTACATCAAATTCAGAAAATAAGACTTTTTTTTTTTTTTTTTTGAGACAGAGTCTCACTCTTTGCCCTGGGCAGAGTGCCACAGCATCTGTCATAGTTCACAGCAACCTCACACTCTTGGGCCCAAGATTACCTCTGCCTCAACCTCTCAGAGGCTGGGAGTATCGGCACCTGCCAGAATGCCCAGCTAGTTTATCTATTTTTAGTAGAGACAGCGTCTCACTCTTGCTTAGGCTGATTTCCAACTCCTGAGCTCAAGGAATCCAACTGCCTCGGCCTCCCAGAGTGCTAGGATTACATGTGTGAGCCATTGTGCCCCACCTAAAACTTTTATTAAATTTTAAGAGACTGGGTCTTGCTCTGTCACCTGGGCTGAAGTGCAGCAGCATGATCATATGGACAGCTCACTGCAACCTCCACCTCCTGTGCTCAAGGGAAGCAATCCTGCCCCAGCTTCCCAAATAGCAGTGGTTATAGGCATGTACCAGCATGCCTGGCTGTTTTTTAAATCTTTGTACACTCTTGATATGTTGCCCAAGCTGGTTTTGAAGGCCTAGCCTCAAGCAGTCCTCCTGCCTTGGCCTCCCACAGTGCTGGGATTATAGGTTGACCCACTGCACCCAGCCAAAACTTAATAAATACATGTAAATATTAGAAACACATGCAAATGTTTTATAATTTAAATTATCATATATATCAAATAATTTCCCTTAAATTAACATAAAAGAAAGGCTTTAGTAACATTTTAATCTTTCTTGCTCACCAGATAAAGGATCATGACAAAAATTATTTTATAAATGTTATCAATCAAAAAGTTTAAGTCATGTTCTTTGAGTACTATCAAGGTCAGACAGTTAAGTTCTCCAAAGCATCCTAGGAAAAAGTGCTCTATACCTCACTGTGGAATATCACTACAGTCACCTTCAAAGTGCTCCCCATGCTCATGGGGTGACTAGTAATATTCAGCAGTGAGATATGTAGTACTTTTTCTAGGATGAGTTCAAGAACTTAATTGTCAGGCTTCATATCCGAATCCATGAATACTAGAAACACAAATACACGTAGAGAAGATGGTAGCCACAGCTCCCCCTTTGAATACATACATGTGGAAGTAAAATTTATCTTTAGTCGTATATCTTATCTGATAAAGATAAGACACATCACAAAGATTTCTAGATTTGTGAAAATTGAAATATTTATACCACATATGTGCATACGTTAAAAGACAGGGACATGACAAGCAGTTCATAAAAAGAGAAATACAAATAACATGGGTCATTTATATATTGAAGCCTTCACTCAGTCAACAGACATTGATAGAGCACACACAGTCTGCCAGACACTGATCTCAGCACAGAGGATACATCACTGGCTTGAGCAGAAACCCTCATTCTAAGGGAGCTTGTAAAGTTTCTTAGGAGTTTGAGGGAGACAGGCAAAATGAATAAGGAGATTATATAGTATGTTGGAAGGCAAGAAGTACTTTTACATAAATCATGGAAGAAAGATAATATTTCACACAGATAGGTTTTGAAGTCTCCCTGACAAGGTCACATTGGAGCAAAGATGTGGAGGA